ATTTTTTATATAAAGCAATAAGAAGACGTAATTTGTCTGAATCGTGCACAAAAGAGCCTTAGTAAGGTGCCTCTTCAGTAGAATCCAACGAATATGCACCGAAGATACACTTGATGAAGAAGAAAGAAAGTTGACACAAACTCTGGTTGATAACAACTATCCAGACAAATTCATCAGGAGATATAAAGTAGTTAGAACATTAAGATCCACTCTCCAACTCGCCACTAAGAAAGACGTGCACATCAAGCTACCCTACATGGAGGATTATAACTTGACAACTAGACAAAGATTGAACGCCGCTGTTAAAAATACTTTTTATGCAGCTAATATCATAATCACTGAGAATGTGAAGGCAATATATCCGTCTGAGCCCTTTGAACATGCAAAAAGTGATGTCACATCCCAATGTATTTATCAGTTTGAATGCACTTGTGGAGACACATACATAGGGAGGACTCATGGATCTCTGCAAGCAAGGGCTTCAGAGCATATTCCTAAATGGCTGGAGAAATAAATAGAATCTTCAGAACCCATTAATGGTGAGAACAGGAGACCTACCTGCTCTACTGCAAAACATATTATTGAGACAGGACATAGAATTGACATTAACATATCTTTTAAACCTATCTATAAAATCTGTTTGGGGCGTATCCTAAAGTTTGTGCGTTCAAAAACAATTCGTCATCACATTAAACCTTCTTTGGTAAATTTTGTTTCGATACCATAGAAGATGTACTATTACCTCTGCTATTTGGTTTAGTGGTCTTCATCGTTATTTTGACCTTGAATATGTCCTTTTAACTTGACCTAAGTCTATTTTCTCCCCCCTTAACTCTTTATTAATTTTATATGTATATATATATATATATTCCAATGACAAGTCCGTGTGTGATCAGATTGTTCGAAATGTGTTGCGTAAATACACATTACACGATTCAGACAAATTACGTCTTCTTATTGCTTTATCTAAATTCATAAAGGGAACTAGTTGTTTTCAATTTTTTTTAAAGTTTGAAATTTGAAAAATTGACCAAAAGTATAATTTATTATTCACATTTGAACAATGAACTATTTATTGATTTGTCAATCTCTTTCATAAATGAAAGATACATAAAACAAAGTTTTTACATTTTATTAAACGAATATCTCCTATTCTATGTGTAATAAGTACAACTTCACTAACATTGGTGGTATTCATTCATTCACTCACTCACTCACGCACACACACACACCCACACATACATACAAATGAATCAAACTGTACACACACACACATTGTATAAGTTAAAGTGATATACATATGTATATTTTTACAATTTTGTCAACATAGGTAATAAAACAACATGAAGCATAAATATAATATTTACATTATTGATCATTTACATTGTTGGTGTAATGTCTAGTTTTTATCGTTTGTCTCATTTGGTAATATTCTATTTTGCTTTCAAGATGTTAAAAGAAGAACAAGTGATTCACAGTCCATAACTCGAATTCAGCGAAAAAAATAAGACTTGAAATGATATATACAACAAAGAACTTGATAAAGTATAATATATGTATATATTCTTGATTTATTAGTTTAAATGTTCACTCACATCAATATTTGAAGGTCATTTAAAGGTAGTCAGTCTGACTGACTAAAGGCATTGCACAAAAAGAAAAAAAGACACAAGCTGTGTATACGAATGTGACAACATTAGTAGGATTAATTGTAATTAAAGCTGTGTAAGACAAGAGAAATTTGAATACAAACGGGTTAATTTAAGTATACGATAATAATTAATTCTAAAAGATTTCATCACTTTTAGGTAGGATTTTTTAAAATAAATAAAATATTTCAACGGTCAAATTCAGGTTAATACATATTACAGTCTATCCTTTGATTGAATGCTAGATAGTGTGACGGAGGCACAGTGGTTAGAACTCTCGCCGACCATGCACATGGTCCGGGGTTCGATAACCTGCCGACGCACACCTGATATCTATGGTCGGCCTGCAAAATTTGGGCTACCAATATCAAATGCTGAAAATTCCATACCTGTACCAAAAAATACGGTGTAATCAAAAATAAAACAAATAAGTTACTAATGTCTGATGCAGACTGAATTAAATCAATCAATTATGCAATGTGGCCATCATTCTCTGTGGTTCACCATCATGATGCACTCAGAATTGTTGTCATTAGATGGTTGGAGGCAATCGGCCACAGGAAGCCTTGCTCGACCTAGGTTTCGTGCTTGTTGGTCCTCTCCAGTCAGTAAAGAGTATCTGCAATCTTGGAGGAACTCATGTCCCTTCTGAGATTCGAACCCGCATCATCCAGTGCTGTAGTCAGGGTCATTACTACTGAACTATTCGGGATCGCGATTGACCTCCTGTAGGACTGTAGTGAATACTTTGAATGAACACTAGGCAGTAAGTAACCAGTGATATGAGTCTAATCCTTTGTTTACTGAAGACTGAATTCTTCGAATTATCACTGCGGTAAACCTTTGGTTAAAAAAAATTATTCATAGCTAATATGTGTAACAAACCAGCTCACAGAATATAACTAAATCAAAATCATCCACCTGAGCTACAAATCTTCTCCATTAGATCACAAATAGTTTCCTCTGAATGTTGCTTATTTAAAGTACTATTCACTTTTGTTCAGTTATAACTGTCAGTTTACTTATTTTTTTGAAAAAATATACTAAACTTGATAATTCATCCTGTAGTTTTTTGACTATTGAAATTCTCGTAATAATAATAATAATTATTATTCCCTTGAGTTCCAAGTGGAACACTGGGCTTCAACAACACACTCCACTTTCTTCTATTTTCTGCCATCCTCTTCATCTGGGTCCATGACTGCTCATAATCTCTCATCTCTTCTTCTCACGATCTCCTCCATGTCACCGTTGAATTACCCACCCGTCGCTTCCCACTTGGATTCTACTTGAGCAATGGCCTGGCGTGCGATGTCGTTCGGCGAACTTCTCAACGTATGCCCGATCCATCTCCATTTTCTCCCGCATATTTGTTGAGCGATCGGCTCTCGCCTGTAGGTTTGTTGCCAGTCAGAGTTTCTTGTTGCTAATTCTTTCTGGTCATTTGATCTTCAGTATGGAGCCAACCAGAGAAGGTGGCAGTTGTTGACAAAAGTCTGTTATAGCCTGTTGGAAATGCTTTTCGTGACACACACTGCAAGTTTCTGACACGTATAGAAGAAGTGACTGACTGACTGACTAACTAACTAACTAACTGACTTCACATTTGTGTTGAATAGAATCTGAATCTTGTTCTTGTTTATGCTGGCTGACTGAGTTAGTGCAGAAGATTTCCAAACTGGTTTCAGGTTAATGAAGACGTATCTTGCCTATCCGATTCTGACTTTGACATCCTCATCCGTTCTGCCTGTAGTTGAAACGATGCTTCCTACATAAGTAACCTCTGTTAAATCTCTCTCTATGATGGTGATTGGTGCTGGTTGCTGTTCGACGGTTATCTTTGTAACCTCAGTCTTCTCTATGTTCACCTGGAGTCCTGTCTTGTATGGCTGCTTCTGCAGCCAGTTTGTTGGTTTTCGCTTGGAAGTCTTCAAGTTTGTGTGACATTGGACATATTTGATCTGCGAAATCCAGATCTTCTAGAGTCTTCTTATCGGTATTCCAGCATATTCCTGACTCCTCGCTCCCTGTGCATAGTCTGACGCATAATCTATTCTACCAAAATTAAGAATATCATCGGTGATAATAGACAGATCTGTTTTACTCCTGTCTTCACTTATAACGCCTCACTGAATTTCCCGTTGTGGATCACCTGATACGTGGAATTGTCACATAACCAGCTGTTGAGGGAGGTTGATGTAGACTTGATGTACGCCATAGTGTTGAATTAGTTTCCAAATTACTTCTCGGTCAACGCTATCCATTGAAGGTCGATGAAGTTGAGATAGAGGTTTGACTGCCATTTTACGCTTAGTTTGATGACGATATGTAGAGTCGCAATTTGTTCAGCACATGATTTGCCTTTCTCGTAAAATATACTGTAATACTAATGGCAGTTGGTTCATTCCTGTAAATCATAATCATCTTCCTTTACCTTACTTTCACCGGATTAAGTGTAGTTGATTTTCCCTTCTATTCTCAGGATTTTCCATAGTGCAAAATGCCAACTCAAAACACTGAGTTTAATTTTTTAAAATTTGCTTCCGCTATCCACTTTCATTCTCTACTTTTATATTCATTTAAAACAATGGACATCAGTTGAACTGTATTTCCACAACATGATCATCACTTCTATGTAGATGACGATATAATAAAGGTTACAATCCTTCCATGTAATCAATTTTAAACACACTATAAGAATGTGACATAATTACTTGTCGACACTGACAGATTTAACTGTCTAAGGGAACTTTGATGTTTTCACTTTCTCAGAAGCAACTGTTATGACACAACTATTATTCAAGTAGTGGTTTGTAGAGATTTGATCGATTGGTTACAGGATTTCACCATGAGTTTACGTCGGTTACAGAACCATTGGAAAACCACCTGGTATTAATGGACAGCTGTTTCGTCCTAGTCTAGGACTCTTCATCAGTACCCACCCACCGGGGCTCGAACATAAGATCAACAGGTATCAAGGAATATGACTATTTGATATTTTCTAGTAATGGACATTTTCCGGTTTTCAGATTACAAAAATAAGGTGCTTGTGATTTTGTGTCATCCAGTAGTGGTCTATCACTTTGTGTGTACACATACGTAAAACAGAATTTATTCACCGTAAATATTATTTATTTTTTTCTTTTCACATGACATAACCAATAGACAGATGACAGGAGACGCAATTATATCACCACTCATGAAGAAATTTAAATCATTTCAGTTTATGTTGAATATTGCGCTGAAGATGTTGTCCAAAAGGACGACGATAGCTCCGCAACCAAACCAACCAGCTCAGAGAATACTATTAATTTCAGATGACTAATCTATTGTGTTGTATTCTACTTTTAGATACGTTGTTTAGAGCATGAATACATGAAACACTGGAAATTGTATAAAGGTAAGTAAGCAACACTTATACTTTGTGTGTAGTAAATAACCCATATTTTTCCTCAGTATCTCAAACTATTTCTTGTGTGTCCTGCTTGAAAATCGATATATATATTAATAATAATACTCAACCATTAGAAGATGAACCCTATAAACCTTCAAACAGTTTCTGAAGAGAAATATATCCGTCATTGTGTGAATATCTCAAAGATTGAAAGATATATACAACTTAATATCATGGAGAATAAACCGGAGCATAGTAACACTTGACTTCACCAGAATCTCACTGGAAGCTGTGATAACCACCTGTAGTTGATATTCTGCTTTGAAAAGGAAGCACGAGTTAATGTTTGTCTTAATGAATGTGGAATTCGATTAGGATGAAATTAAAAACCGATGATCTTCATAAAATGCAACTTCCTAGTGCTGTCTACGGACGATTACGGATTAATGAAAGAGAACTAGTTTGTTTGATCGACACAGGGGCAGCAGTTTTTTTGATAGGTAGAGAACAGTGTGAGGAATTAAGGGCGCACACATTAGCAGTTCAGACGGTAGGCGGACATTCTTTATATATTCTTGGTGTTTCAGACTGCATTGTAGAGATCAGAGCAAGGAAAATACGATATCCATTCATTGTAACCTCAGATTTGGGGACCAGACTTTCTCAGAGAAGTAGGGGCTGTAGTCGATATAAAGAATAGGAGAGTGGTCACAAACCATGGGCAATTTGCGATAAATGAAAACAGTGAAATCGCTGAGGTAGAAACCAGAACAAGTGTTCCGAAAGAAGCACCAAATCTAACCATGTTGATGAATAAATATGCCTGCTTATTCATTGGAGATGGAGAACCCTACAGATATTGCGATAAAGTAAAGCATGATATTCCACTGAAGGACCCGGGGGAAGACAGCCTTCTCAGCACGATGAGTTCCTGTGCACCTAGAAGAAGAAGTTAACCGACAAGTCGAAGACGTGTTAAGTGACGAAAAATCGAACAAGCCGACGGCCCTCCCAGTTCGCCGATCCTTTAAGTAAAGAAGGCTAACGGAAAGCATAGATTTTGTGTCGATTTCAGACAGCTGAAAAGTCTCACCAAAGTAAAACAGTGTGCAATGCCAACCGTAACACTACTACATCAAATACACAATAGATTGAAATATCTTTTCAAGTTTTATTTTTCAAGGATTTAATTTGTTTCAGTTATGATCATGCGTTGATGTCAGTAAGAGAACCATCAGAAAACCTAAGAGTGCTGGATAGAGGTTTCTTCTTATCACATTAGTCTTCATTAGTACACACCCACTGGGGTTCGAACCAAGGACCTTCGGGCTACACGTCAAACTCGGAGACCATTCAGTCACTCAGACCCGATCCAACGGCTCATGAATTCTAACATCTAATTCTCAACTAATTAAAGTTAGTCTGATACTAACTAGTGACTGCCTACAGGATAAAGTTTCCTACAACTCGAGTGAGAAATTGTGGCCAGTGGGGTCCCTTAGATAGTGCGAGAGGGCGAATTCTCACCGACGACACTCGCTAGTCGTTACGCTGAAATCACGATTCGGTAGAATTTAGAGTTCATCGGCCATTGGATCGTGTCCTAGTGACTGAATGGTCTACAAGTTTGGCTATTAACCGGAAGGTCCTTGGTTCGATCTCCTATGAGTTTGTACTACCGAAGAGTCCGGAAGTAGGGCGAAACGACAGTTCAACGCTGCCTGGTTTTCAATGGTTCTCTGAATGATCTCACTCTGCGATCAACCTTGAAATATCTTCACCACTATCTTAACAAATGGTGAACAGAAGGAAATTCATCTTTAATCTTATGGTAATGTGTCATCTTAAAGCCAATGGCTAGAATCTTGTGATTAGCGCTTAAGAAACGGTATACTAAAATATGTCATGAATCTTGGTATTTGTATATAATTCTTCACATTATAAATATGTGAACGATTTTAGTTGGTTGTTTTTTGTAATTTTATCTTCTATTCTTAATTAGTCTCTGATTCTCTCTTTTTATTCACCACAAAGTAGTATAATAACTACAACCAAGACAGACATTATGCCAATACTATGCGTATGCGTTCTGTTAACTGTAAACCTCTAAATGCTTACTGTGGTATTTAACTTCAGGTATTAAGTGCTCGCTGAAACGTTTTTTTATTTAAAGTAATTATATTGACTCTGCCAACTATTATGATAATAATAATATTCATTATAGTGTTTGACCTAATCATAGACGAGAAGATTTATGGAATAACATAAACTATTTAACGCCGCTTACATGACTGCCAGAAAGAAAAGTAGGGTGGTTTGAGAGAATCTGATTTGTAATATTAAACATACTACTACCCAGAAAAAGTGCTTCAGTGGAACAGCAGTAGAAGGCTCACCGACCACGCCTCATGTGGTCCGGGGTTCGATCCCCGACTGATGTACTCTCATACCTCGCTAAGCCAGTAACAAGACCAGTAAAGAGGGAAGGTTGGGCATGAGCCTAGCAACTCCATCCTGTAAGTATAAACACCACTGCTACTGAAACCTTAAGCCTCTAGCTTGAAGCCCTATGTTCCACTGGGAAAGCGAAGGAATAAACAAAGTACTTACAAAATACCAACATGTCTCAAAAATAAACCAAGATTTTCTGATTTTAGGATCAAGCGAAAGCGTAGACAACCAATTAGCATTAGTTCAGTACGCCGACTTAGCCTTGGACTAGAGAATGTAGAAGTCAATCTTGGTAACTCCTGATGAAGACTATTTAAAGTGGTCTTCTTGATCTAAAAGACAAAAAAACAGATGTAAATAAAGCAGGATTTATTAAATTCATCAAATTTCGATAGAACTCTTCAACTGACTCCTCCTCTACATACAGTAATGTGTATACTACTAAAATGACATCGGAAGTTATATCACTGAAAAGTAAACTGACCACAATGATTCATTCGTGCAAAATGAAATGTGTGAATGTTTTTTCAGGTCATGTTCAGATTGATAAAAAAGGGAAGGAGGTATGAGAGATTAAAGTTAAGATGATAATAATAACGTATAATTGTTCATTTACATCACTTGAATACACGATTAGTCACTAGCGTAAGAACTTCAAAATATCACGAATTGTAAACTAAATAATAATAGCTAAACTGACAAAAGAGAATTAAAAGTCAATCTGAACGAAGAATATTCTTTTCAATAATTTCTCTTCATGTTCTTACAGTTATAAAATATAATATTTGTTGTCGTTACAATAAAGGCCAGTTATGCGGCAGGTACATTTTTTAACGTAGAATAACAGATCAGTTATGGGGTGTCAAAATAAATAGTTGTATTTGTGTGACAAACGTGCTGGGCTGAAATCGATTACAAAATATTGTAATCATAATAGATTTGTAGAGTGTGGGGTAGGAAAATTGACAAAACAGTTCAAGGTTATAAAAGGTGTCAGGTGAGTGGCTAGTCCAAAGTGGTCTGTGTTAAACAAGAGATAGTAAGACTGCAATAAGAGGTTCATAATGAAATAAGGAATATGTGAAATGAAACAGGTGGAGGCATATATTGAGAAAAGAGATAATATCACTAATAGTAAGTCCGGATAGTATAAATGAAATATTCGATAGTATTGAGAGAATGTTTGCATGAAGGGCATAAATTATGACGAATAATAATAATATTAATAATTGTAATAATAATATTTGTGATTATAAGCAAAGAGAAATAAAAGCAAGAGGGTTAAGGGGAAGGAGCACTCTTGGTGAGAAGAAGAATCATCAATCCAAGTTCGGCCACGGTAAGAACAGCGTGTGGACGTGTTCTTTTTGGATAGAAAGTTCCAGTTTAGTCGATCTTATTGCAACAGCTTCAGCTATATGTAGGAGACGTAAGCGAACTGTACGTGATAACGACTTCGGAATTCGGTATATAACCCTGAAAGCTCTGCTGACATCAATATGATGTCCAGTATCGACCAATTGTGACAGGATCGAGCTTTTTACGCACTTAATTTCCTCCCTGCTGAACCAAGCTGGTAAATGTTCTCGAACCCGTAGACGAACCTGCCTAATTGTGCGCCCTATATAACTTGAACCACAGGAACAGTTGAAATGGAGAAGAGCAAAAGCCGAATTTGGATTGATGATTCTTCTTCTCACCAAGAGTGCTCCTTCCCCTTAACCCTCTTGCTTTTATTTCTCTTTGCTTATAATCACAAATATTATTATTACAATTATTAATATTATTATTATTCGTCATAATTTATGCCCTTCATGCAAACATTCTCTCAATACTATCGAATATTTCATTTATACTATCCGGACTTACTATTAGTGATATTATCTCTTTTCTCAATATATGCCTCCACCTGTTTCATTTCACATATTCCTTATTTCATTATGAACCTCTTATTGCAGTCTTACTATCTCTTGTTTAACACAGACCACTTTGGACTAGCCACTCACCTGACGCCTTTTATAACCTTGAACTGACAAAAGAGAGTTTTAAATTATGAATATAATAATAAAAAGTTCAGTGAATACTCTCTTTTCTGCGGCTAATTCATTCATTTAGCTGTACAATCGTATTTTTATATATAATTATTGTTGTGTGTGTGTGTACATTAGGATTGTCAAACAAAAAGAAAGAAAGATTAGAAATTAGTTAGGGTTATTGTTTACGTCATCGAACTGTTTCAAACATGTGATGAAAACTCAAATTGCAAGTGGGGAGGGTGGTGAAGATTGGTAAGTATTGATAAGGATTGCGTAATATGAAAGCCACCCAGAAAAATAGGATGTTAATGAAAGAACATGGAGACACATGTCGAAAATAAATTATGTAATAGAAAGAGTAAAAATAGGGTTAGTTAAGAAAAAGTAATACAAAAATTCAAAAAAGAGCATTATTAACAACGTAGTAGAACTGGGAATTATACTCAAGGTAGAAAGAGGGGTTGGACAAGTTTCTTCTGTGTGCATAAATCAGGGTTTTCTATCGGAATCACTAAGGACTCGGCAATGCAAAGAATACGGAAGCTTAACACTTTTCGGGAGGCTTCTTTTGACTTTGTAGATGACTTTGAATGGATTCTCCGTGCATATTGAGTGACCATTGTTGAATATATGTTCAATTATATCACTTCTTATTGATCCACTGTGATCTTTTCGTAGCCAAACAGGATAATGTTCTTTGACTCTCTTCGATGGAACATGCATCGAACGACCTATATATCTCTCTCCATATAAGTAAATTGGTAGACATACGTAGAAGTGGTCAGATGTGATAGTTTATCTTTGGAGTTGTTGAAGAAGAGTTGGCGGCTTGAGAATATCAATCGTAATGTACCAGTGCAGAATGTTCCTTTCAGGGTGTTTGATATTCTTCTCTATAGGATATCAGACAGAATGTTGCCTTTGAAAGCCAAATTCATGTACAACATCTTCGGCAGAGAGATGGGTTTTTCTTGGTTGATTTTCGGCTTTATTTATTTATATATAAAGTGTGGTGGATAGCCATTCTCAAGTAGTGTCTTCCTGAAAAGAGTGATCTCTTCTTCTTCTACTGGTTTGGGTCTGCAGGTTCTACGGATTCTAGTCGCATGTCAAAATAATAATAATAATCATAACAGTTAATAAGTAAAAGGATATTACTATGGTGGTTTCCAAGTGACCACCACTACCTTCTATAAGTAGAGACCGAGTTTAAAAGTTCTAATTGCACAAGCCCCAGTAATTGGGAGCATCTCTATGTTTATTTGTCTGATGATAATACTGAATTACCTGAAAGCATCAGTATCATATTCGTAGTCTATAAGATACTTTGTTACTGAAATTTTTAGTACCATGACTTTAGCTGTTTTCAACTCCAGACAAATACTCCATTATGCATATGTTCTAATTTTAAATGAGACTTGTTAAAATATATTTTTTTAAATGATAGGCATTTGTCATTAATTGCAGAAAAATCATACAATCCATCTTATGGTTGACATTTTGTCTCATATTTCTCATTTCTCATGTCTCATTTCTAGTTTTATAGCTTTGTTATAGTCAGTCACACAATAGAAGAATGATCCACAGATATTATCTGAATACATAGTACCTTAAAAATTAGTAGTATTGATGCAATTCTGCATTTTCTCCAGTTGGTTTGTAAGGATTAGATTTCTTTATACGAGTTCGACCACGGATTAATATCAGTTAGAGAACCATTGAAAACAAACAGGGAGTACTGGACAGCCAACTGTTTCATTCTACTGTGGGAATCATCTGCAGTACGCACCCACCACAGGGGGTTCGAACCCAGGACCTTCTGGTTACAAGGCTGCCGAGCTCGTATATCATTCAGACACCGGGACCCGATTCATTGGCCAGTCCATGACTTCTAACTTCTACCAATTCGTGATTTAGCACGACCACCAACTGATGTCATCTGTGGGACATCCATCCTCACACTTGACTGGATGGACCTCACTGGTCACGACTTCTCACTAGAACTCCAAGAAACTCTGTCCTGTTGCAAGTCACTAGCGATCATCAGATTACATCCTTACAAACCAATCTCTTGAAAATTAATCTGATGGTCGATAGTGACTTGCTACGGGACAGAGTTTCCTGGAGTTCTAGTGAGAAGCCATGACCAGTGAGGCCCATTCAGATGTTACGTGTGAGGATGGATGTCCCACCGACGATATTGGTTGGTGGTCATGCTAAATCACGAGCTGGTAGAAGTTAGAATTCATGGAATGGCCATTGAGTCGGGTCTCAGGGGCTGAATGATATACGAGCTTGTCTTGCAACCGGAAGGTCCTGGGTTCGAACTCTGGTGGTGGGTGTGTGGTGCCAATGATTCGCAGACTAGGATGAAACAGGTGGCTGTCCAGTACTCGCTGCTTGTTTTCAATGGTTCTTTAACTGATATCAATCCGTGACGAACTTGTAAAAATTCTGTATTTAGTAAAATGCGCATAGTAGTTGGGTTAACTTGTTTTCAGGTGTTTAAATTACGTAAAACAATGTCTTTATCTCATACATAATCCAAAGGAGAGATCAATATAAAAAATAATACTCAAGTTATCATATATTGTCTTTACTACTTTTAATTTCAATTTTGTAGAATTAAGATCACGTTCACAAGGTGAATTATTTTGTGAATTGACTAATTGTAATGGAATTAATGGAAAATGTGGAGTAGAAAATGCCTACAGTTGTCAGCATTCCTCTGGTACAGACAGTTTAACATCCTTATCAAAAAATAAGCTAAGCAAATCTACACTCGCCCTGACTGGATGCAATGAATTCGATTATGCTCAACCATCACGTATCAATGGTGGTAATATAAATTCTACACATTTTCATCATCAACAAAATTCGAACAGTCATTATGATACATCGAATTACTTACCGACAATATTAGAGAAACGTCCAAAATATTCTTCTCTAATGAATTTAATCCGACACAAATCTAAAAAAGCAACAAATAACAATAATAATATTCCCTTTCAAAATGATAGTCGTCCACGTGCTGTTACTACAATAGATCCAAGATATTCAGCTCTACAGTCGAATAAACAAAGTAACTCAGATTTATCAAAGACACCTCAAATGTCTGCAACTCTTTATTCGAACAACAACAACAATCATCATCATCATCATAGTAAAGGATTAAGTCGATTAAAGAGTAATGCTCGTGATGTAATTTCGATTGATTCAAGTTTAAAACAACAACAAGAAGTATTGATTAAACGGTTATGTCAGATAGAAGCACAAACCGAGTATCTGTCTGGTACACTGATCTGTGAAGTGATTGGAATCAGTGGATCCCTTTCATCGCTGTCTAGAGATATCTTTAAAATATCATTGAAATATGGTTCACCGGATTTATCTTCAGTCTATGAATTACAATGTAATGATAATACACCAGATATTCGACCGTTGTATACATCAACTATACCATTAAGTCAAAAATCTGGTTCCAATGATAAGTGGACAATTACTGGTCGTCTCTCGTCGACATCTTTTTCCTATTCCTCTTCTGTATTATCCCCTTATTCAAATAATTCTTCAGCTAATCTACAGACAACATATTCTGATGATACAGATTTAAAATTCCCTGCACAGAAATGGGATCATACCAAGCATATATTTAGTCCAACTGTCGGGGATGTATTAACAATTAAAGTGAGTTGCTTATTCTAGTAATTTATTGTAATAATAATTATTATTATTGTATGTTACGCCAAAAAATTTTCACGATAGCATTGAATATGCATACTGCTTATCTGCAGAGTTGAATGTCGTGAATTTTCTAATGTGGAAATGTGTATCAGTTACCCTTTAAACTCACTAGGTTGCCTCATCTATACTTTGCAAAAGTTTCCTTCCGTCTGAAGAAATATTACTACTGATATTCTCAAGAATTAGTATGTAGGGATTCTCTTTGTTTCAAGCTAAGGAGAACCAATGAAAACTGTCTGCCTGTATTCGACATAGAACTTTGCACATATGTGCGGCAGTTCAAGTCGCCATACTCCATGTAGCACACAAAGCAAGAGAAGGAAGTAGGAGAAATGCATATTAGGGACAGTAAATAGAGGTGTGAGACAAAGGAATAGTAATAATGAAGAACAAAACAGTTTAATTGGAAATCATAAGTCACAAGGAGTGGATGCATCTGCGCTAGTCATTGAGAACGATTTTGAGCCATGTCACCAATTGTTTCCAACCATTGGTTTTTACCGTCCCGATGACCCCAACCAGGAAGTCTACACCTTCCTACGTGGCTTAGACTAACTGTTGTGGATTTCATTGACTGGTGATGCCATGTTTTGGTTTGACCGCCGCTAGCTCTTTTCCAGCCTGACCCTATATCAGCTAACATTGCCCGTCGAGGAAGGCGATGACTAGGAGTGCATACGTAACACATTTCCTAACCATCTCAGTCGATGTAATTTCACAGTCTTGTCGACTGATTCCCTCTCCTTACCTAGCACTCGACGCCTAACCTCCATATTGCTCACCTTATTATACCACTTCACGCGGGAGATAGAACGCAAACACCTATGATCGAAGACAGCTAATCTTTTCATGTCTTCCTCTCTCAATGGCCAGGTCTCACAGTCATAAATGAGGACGGAGCGGACTGCTGAGTACTAGACAGTTGTTTCTTCCTAGTTTTGGATTCATCGGCAATGCGCACCCACTTGGTTCCGAACCCAGAACCTTCTGTTTACAAAGCGAGCTCATACACCATTCAGCTAGTGGAAACCTGTAGTAACACAGGTGCTTAAGTCCTTGCCAATTTACTAGCATTTTAATAATGAATGTTAACCTGAGTTAGATTTATTTTATACCTTGAATTTATTGTTAATTAGATGTTTTTGTCTCAGTTGACTGAAGACTTCCTATTTATTCACTCTAAAAAAGTTAAAGAAGAACATCATTTCAGCTGGCATCTTTTGATAGATGAGGCTTTGATGTCTTGAGTAATTGAAGTTATAGTAATGCAAATTTTTGTATCGTCGGCTTCATAACCGTTGGTGTTCCGATGGAAGAACATTGGTCAGACAAGCAAATAATCTGGGTTCGGCTTCTGATAGACACACTGCTAAACCCCGGTAAAGTTTGCTAGCTAACAGTAATACTAAGAAAGAGAGAAGGTTGCGCTTAGAGTTAACATCCTCGTCCCATAAACTTCAAGTTTGGAAGCTATATGTCCCACTCGGAACTCAAAGGAATGAAAAATGTCGTTGTGCGTCCTTACGTAATTACTGCTGTTTTACATTTAAACAACCGTCCATACTAAGACCAGTGGGCTCACAAATCTTTCTGGATGATTAGCCTTTGCAATTTTATTGAATATGAAAAAATTTCTTGCCATATGAAGTTCTTGGGACGTTTTCAGTAAAACTGATGGTCTCGATCGCCTACAGAACAAACAGGAAACTGACTGAATTCATATAGCGATTTATAACCTGTGTCTAATATATCTGTATAAATTATCTTTGAAAATGAAAAAACAAGTTTGTAAATTCTTAATTCTTATTGTCAAAAGAATGAAATCAAATGAATACGGAAAAACTTCTACCTGATGTTATCAGATTTCACAATATTCGATTGACGAACGCTTAACTGTTCCCTGTTAAATCGATACGCGTTTAAATCGTCAACCAAAGATACTGCTGCAAAAAAATGCTTCTTGTTACCACACTGATGCTTAATTTGACTTTATTTGACACAATTTACTCGAATCATCAGAAAATCGTTTTAGTTTTCTTCGCATAACTACAATAATAAAATTGTAAAGGGCTTTCAGAAAAGTAGACAGTTATGTGTTGATAACTCCATGTCGCTAACTGCTACCATTAGATGGTGGTCCTGCTTGCGTATCTCCATGACAAATCGAGCTATACCGGCTAGAACGCATATTGCTACAATTCATACTATGCCAGAAACCTCGGCTGGATAGTAGTTAAAACAAAATCATTTATCACTATAGTGTAAAGTGTTTATGTAATCTTAAGCCATATTGCTAACCGACAGGTGTGTAACAGCAGTGAGGTATTTCTTCAAACAATAAGCAAGCAAACTGTGCTGCCTTTCAGCTTGAGGGAATAGAAGTTTAATGAAGTTCTGACTTGACCTACCACAGTTCGTAACCAGTGGAAAGGTTACATGCATGGAAGAAACCTCGCAAACTCCACCAGTGGGTAGACTGTATGTGACCGATCTGAAGCTATTTCTCCCAGACCTGTGACGTCAAGCAACACTAAAATTTTTCCATCATTTCGGCACTCAAAGAGGTTATCAACTTTCACACTGTTGGTAACAGGGAAGTAGCACACACACGCCTATTAGCACATAAGGTTCTGTTCATCACCTACCGTCTTCTTGCTTTCCTATCACCTTTATTACAAATCTACAAGCGGATTCCTCATCCCATAACTCTGTTACTACCACTGGAGAAATAACGTTCACTGTCCCATAAAACCACACTATGTACTGAATTATTCAAAGTTCGCTTGATTTGCTTAAGCAGAAAACAGGCCCCACTAGCCAAAACTCTTCCATCTTGTCCTTGGGACTTATTCCATATTCCTGAGATACATAAACAAGACACAAGTATGGTTACTGACTTAAGATCACTCAGCCATCCCATGTAATCTGGAAAATTCACTGGAGATTATTTAGCTAGTTCTTGCAGATTTATTGATGTAGGTACTGTATCCAGCTTGATAGCAGGAAACACACTACTCAATTGGATTCCAAAGGATACTAATACGTGAGATATTTTACAAAACGGAATCGATAGAACAAGTAAAGATCGTGATACTCATCAATTTCTTTTATTGGCCTCCACACACGCACCAATGGACTGCAGTTCAGATGAAGCGGAGATTGTATTTTTTTGAATAGTGCCCAGTTTGTCGGTGATAGCAAACCAATCAAACACAGTCATCTGAGTACGTGATTTCACTATTCGTTTAAGGGAAATGGACCAGCCTGAAAGGTATACTACGGGGTATCTACGCCTTTTCATGCTGAAAAACTGACATCCATGATGGAAACTTATAATTCCGTTCGAATAGCTACTTTTTCCTAACCAGCACTAATTTCAAGAATAAGAGGAGACATTGCTTCACCTGGTGGCCACTGATGTAGAGTCAATACCAGAGTGAAAGCTGCTTAGATGTAAACTAGAAGGTATAAAGAGGCTAACCTCCCTTGACCATAGACGCCGATGTTTAATCTCTCATGTCATGTGGTGCAATACGATCACTAATAATTAGGTTAGGCACAAAGTGTTAAGTAAGAAGATTAAGTCAGCCAGCATCGTTGATTAATTTGGCTGGAACATGTTTTGTGCACACAGAGCCAGAGACGATAAATGTTAAATGGAATCTGGTCAATTAGAAGTGTTAAGGATGGTCGAAAAAAAACATCGAAATCAATGTGTGAAGTCGCTGACCTTTGTTTATAGTCATGTGTGGTGTGAACTGTCCTAGCTAAGGTACCCAGGAATAGAGGTATCAACTACTGAAAAGTGTTGGCAGTATGGCTCAAGATCATTTGTAAAGGCACATGTGTGTTCACTATTTATCATTCTGCAGATTCATTAATTCCTTAACATTCGTCGTGCAATTATTACTTCCCTGCTACATTTCCTTTTATTGTGTATGCTTTTCTGAAGTGTGGCAACTTGAACTGTTAAACTTTTGAGCAGATATGTACTTTAATGATTTACTCAGTTAGAAATTAATTATCCTCTTCATGACACAAAAGGTGTTCAGCCAAAACTCCGTTACGATTTCTCTATGAATGCATGCTTGTCTGTGAAACTATTACTCATAAATTATTTTAAATCGACAAAACTGTTTAATATTCATTTTCAAAAATATCTCAAATATCTTAAAGAAGAATATTCCACTCATGACGAACATCAGAGTGAAATTTGAAACATATTGATTTATTAGGTTTTTTTAGGGAGGTTGTTAAAATAAACTAGTAAATCCTCCTCTCATTTATTGGAGTTCTCCATATCTGTTTCAGCATGTTTCTGCTTACCTACAATGTGTAAAGTGCTCCAAACAGATGAAAAATCTTTAACAACACCGGATCCTACATAAATTCTAGCCTCAGTAATTGTAAAGCACTGAAACCTACTGTGTCAGTAGAGAAAAGCTTGAGAAGTAATGTGTACTAAAAATGCTTCATGTTAAAAACAAGTGAATCTACCTTTCGATATGACGGACATAGACTGGTATGAACCGAATAGATCAACCAGAAGTAAATATTAATCAGATCATTGCAAACTATGAGACAAACAGCAACAAACTTTTGTATAAGAAGGAAATAACCAGTGATATAACTGAGCAAATCCACCCCCAAATGAACCAAATTGTTGCAATTACGTGTTTTCTGAAATAAATAATATTTACAAGTATTGGTTTTGTAGGGATTTTTTTTGATTGCATGGAGGATTTCATCATGAGTTGACATCAGTTAGAGAACCATTGGAAAACCTGGGAATACTGGACAGCTGCTTCGTTCTAGTTTGGGACTGTTCAGCAGTACGCACCCACCGGGGTTCGAACCCAGGACATTCTGGTTACAAGACGAGCTCGTAGACCGTTGAGCCACTGCAAAACCAATACTTGAAAATTAATCTGATGCTCACTGGTCCTATTCAGGGAGTTAACCTGGGGTTCTAGTGAGAAGCCGTGACCGGTAGGGTACAGCAGGTTGAAGATGAGGCAGTAACTCATCGAAGAAGACATTACGAAATGGTCGTGGTACGTTGTGAATTCGCAGAAGTTAGAATTCAAGGACCATTGGATCGGGTCCCAATGGCTGAATGGTCTATGAGCTCTCCAGCCTTGTAGCCAGAAGGTCCTGGGTTTGAACCCCGGTGGGTGCGTAATGCTGAAGAGTCCTAAACTAGGGCGAAAAAGATGCCCAGTGCTCCCTGCAAGTTTTTCAGTGGTTCTCTATCTGATGTCAGCTCATGATGAAATCCTCCATGTAAATAGATAATAGATGATTCCGGTAGAAGTTGTTGTCCACATAAATTTCGCTGAATGTTAATCCATTGAGTTATATTAAAAAATTATATCTCAGTTATTATTGTTGGTTACACTAAATACTCCTTTCAATTTTAAGGCAGAGTTGAAGCCGTAGGCTAGAATGATAACGAAAGATTAGTCAATAAACTAATCATCTCATGTAATGCTAAAACACCAAAGCTCATGCTGGGCGGTATGACAGATATACATGCTACAAATGTTTGCTCATATCACTAAAAGTAAGCTGAGGTAGGTCGGTATTAAATAAAACTTCACTAAATTTATTTAATTCAATATGAACTTTCCTGTTGGATGATTAGAGAGAAGTTTTCGGCCTCAGGTTGACATATCGGCTCCTTGTGCGAGTACTTCAACGATGTTTGATTACTTAATTTGAAGTGAACTGGTGAATGGTGACTAACATCCAGTGGAATCCTGGATGCTCATTTCTTCCTATTTTGGACTGATACTCCTTGCACAAAGAGTGGCCTTCTTAACCTGAGTGGTCTAGTGAATAACATTTTGAAGTTCGAAACTATGGATACTGGGTTCGAGCCTCAAAGGAAACACTATCACTCAGTGAGGATTGCAAGTACATCCGGGTGACGAGTCCCAAATAGGACGAAATGCGCATCCTAGATTCCACTGCTAGTCACTATCCACCAATAAACCTCACTAAAGCCTACAAAACAGAGTCGTTGATAGTGACTAAGGCTTTTAAATTATCTAGCACATAGAATTTTCAGTTTCTGAAGTCACAAAATCATATTTACAATATAACTGACGACATCAGGAAGAAAAACCGGTACGGTATACAGAATATTGTGAAAAACCGCATTCATCTATGTATTATAAAAACCAATGGAAAAGCACAATAATGAATCGGTACGCAAACACGGAAATTCGGAACATTTTCAGTTAGCACAAAGTATTTGAATATAAATTTGTAAATTACCATTGATTCCGCTTTTTGAATAGCACTCACTATATGAGTCATTGTATGTTTCATTATAAACATGTCCTGAATTCTAGAATCCGAAAAATATAGTTAACAAATTCTAAATACATTTGTTAATAAAACACTTCGGCAACATTATGATTATTATTATTAGAATCATTGTCTCCATTTTTTTTCAATATTTGCATATAGGCTGTTATGACGAGAAGATTTGGAAAACCTGAAGTGCTTGTACAACAGGCATGTGATATATTGAATTTGTTAACCTTTAAAGGTCATCATATATCAGTTGGCCTTAAACACTTCACAGATCTTCAGTTCCACTTTATTCTTAAATGGTGGTAAGTAGAACGATGATTGGTGCTGCTATTCATCACACTTTCTATTTTTTTTCGTTTTCGCTTTGAATATGATATAATAATTACTTGCACTAAACTGATACCAATTAGTATTTAGTAATAATATGACTGTGCGTCGGTGGCACAACAGCAGAATGCTCACCAACGACTCATGTGGTCCGGGGTTTGATCCCTGGTCAACGCACACCCACACCTCGCTAAGCCAGTAATAAGACTGATAAAGAGGGAGGGTTGAGCAGGAGGCTAGCAACTCCACTCCGTTAAATCTAAACACCGCTGCTGCTGAAACTTTAAAGCTCTAGAATGAAGGCATATGTTCCACTGGGAACGTAGAGGAATAAAATAATATGACTACCAACCAAGTTATTCAGAACATTGTGATCTAGTACAAGCTTAGCCCACAGATTGATAAGGTCTTTAAAAAAATTAGTTTCCTGATGGCATTCTCTGTTCTCAGGGTATGAAACAATATCTGTTTGTCCTAATTCAAAGTTATCACTGAACCTCATTCATGAGGTCGTACAGCTTTCAACTTATGATCGCTAACTTTCAAAGCGGACAGCTTTTTGGATTGCTAGTCAGTGTAAAAAACTAGAAAAATAAACGACCCCGTGCTATTTCCTGGTTACCTGATTTTCTGGTTAATGTTGGCTTATGATGATACAATGTAAACTTTGCAAAAAATTACTAGGCAAAGCAATACGAAGTTGTAATTTGTCTGAATCATCTGATGTAACACTAAAACGCCGAAGCTCTCACTCTGGGCGGTATGACAGATATGCATACAACAAATCTTTGCTCATATCACAAAACAGCCTTAGTAGAATGCAACGAATATGCACCGAAGATACACTTGATGAGGAAGAAAGAAGGTTGACACAAACTCTCCTTGATAATAATTATCCAGACAAGTTCATCAGGAGATACAAAGTAGTTAGAACATCAATATCCACTCTCCAACTCGCCACTAAGAAAGACGTGTACATCAAGCTATCCTATATAGGGGATTATAGCAGCTTGACAACTAGACAAAGACTGAACGCTGCTGTCAAAAAGACTTTTTATCCAGCTAATATCATAATCACTGAGAATGTGAAGCCAATATATCCGTCTGAGCCCTTTGAACATGCGAAAAATGATGTCACATCCCGCTGTATTTACCAATTTGAATGTACGTGTGGACACATATACATAGGGAGTACTCATGGATCTCTGCAAGTAAGGGCTGGCTTCAGAGCATATTCGTAAATGGCTCCAGAAGCAAATAGAATCCCCAGAACCCATTAGTGGGGAGAACAGGAGACCTAGTTCCTCTATTGAGAAACATATTATACAGAAAGGACATAAAATCGATGTTTTCACATCTAATAAACCTATCTATAAAATGTGTTTGGGGTATATCCTAAAGCTTGTGGAAACCGTAGTGTGATGAGGAAGTTGACACCACCTTTGTGCGATCAAAGTAACAATTCTTTATCACAGTAAACCTTCCTAGAATTTGGAATTCATGGATTGGTTATTGAGTCGGGTCCCAATGGTTGAATGGTATACAAGCTTGCGTTGTTAGCGGGAGGTCCTGGGTTCGAACTCTGGTGGTAGATGTGTACTGATGGTGATTCCCAAACTAAGATGAAACAGCTGGTTGTCCAGTACTCTCTGCTTGTTTTCAATGGTTCTCCAACTGATATCAATCCGTGATCAACTCGTAACAACAAAACTAATCCTTACAAACCGACTACATAAAATTAATAAACTTTGTTTTGATACCAAGCAGTGTAGATGTACTATTACCTCTATTATTTGATTTAGTGATCTTCATCGTTATTTTGACCTAAGTCTGTTTTCTCACCTCTCTATTAATTTCATATATATCCCTATCACAAGTCCGTGTGTGCTGTCATATTGTTCGAAATGTGTTGCGTAAATACACATTACACGATTTAGACAAATTACGTCATCGTATTGCTTTATCTAAATTCAAAAAAGGGAACTTATTATAGGTTTCCAGGCCGTAGGTGTTACGAACTTCCTGGAATAATTTGAGAGCCGAATCAGATTGATTCATTATAAATTATTTAAATTAATCCCAGCATGCTAAGAAAATCTAAATCTGCTGAAGAAGCTGTGGCTTACACAGCGAAACGTTCAGAAAAATCTTGTTTTGATTTTCTTAACACGCTGGGATTAATTTAAATAATTTATAAGGGAACTTATTGTTTTAAAAAATTACTGCTTATAAATCCTTCCCTGTAATGCTGGTTTCAAGATGATCCCACTTCAAAGCAAATACACTGAATATTTGTGAAAAGCGGTCATTAACTCAAGTAGTAGTAGGAGCAATATGGTAGATTTATAACTTATTAATTTCAATATTTGTATATCATCAAAGCAAAAATACTAAAGACTTTTTTAAGGTGATAAGTTCACTCAAAAAGAAACAGAAAAGAAGTGTTGGAATACCTATATATGTGTGAAGAATACAAAGCATAGCTAGCACATTATGTAAAATAATACATATATTAACAAATTTCAATTAGAACAGATGTTCATCCAACCACCCACCCCCACACACACAGAGATAGAATTACCGAAACTCACATGGTCAAAAATTACAAATTTAAATGGCGCATAGCCATATAATTTACTTAGTATTATGAGAAAAGTAATACATTTAAAATTTGGAAAACAGAAAGATTGAGCGAAGAAATATTTACTTTTCAATTAGATCCTCATCTCTGGCTCTACTCTAATATATATAGCATTTTTACAATACACAACAGTTTACCAAACAAGTGGTGATATGTTTGTTAACAATAATTAAACAGTGTCAAATTGTCAACGGGTTGATAATAAACGAAGAAAATCAATACAAATTTAAAAGGTAGAAATGGATAGAATAAATTAATTTTACAAGGATAACACGTAATTAAAGATGAAGTGGTGAAAATAAAAATAAAATAATTTGGACAATTATAATTTAATAGCTTTAGGGGGAGGAGGAGGGGGCGACGTAGTCCTGTCTTGTAACGATGGCCACGGTAAGGAAAGTGGCTGTACAAATTTCTTCTGTACACATAGGCCTGGTGGATTCCGATTGCTTCAGCTGTCTGTAGAAGACGAACTCGTAGAGCAAAGTTAAGATTAGTCGGAATGCGATAATTAATTTTAAATGCAGTATTCACATCAACCTTATGCTCAGTATCAACAAGTTGTGCTAAAATATAACTACGAATAGATCTTGTTTGTCCCTTGCTTAACCATGCTAGATGATGTTCAGAAATACGACGATGAAACTGCCTAATTGTACGCCTAATGTAACTGGCTCCGCAGCTGCAGTCAAACTGGTAGACACACATAAAAGAGGCAAAATTAGGTAGTTTATCATTATTCCTCGAACACAGAATAGGGGTGGTTTTGAAGAGACAGCGTACCTCTGCTGCATAATAAGCTCTTTTAACTGCATTCTTCAAGCGTTGTGTTTCAGTTACTCAACAACAACAAAAAAGAAAGTATAACTGATTTCAAGCTAGAATTTTCCAGAGTTGGTTTGTAAGGATTTGGTTTGCATTTTTTTTTCTTTTAAACTTAATCACATGTTGATATCAGATAGAGAACCATTGAAACCCAGGGAGTGAGTACTGGACAGCTGTTTCGTCCTGGTTTCGAACTCATCGACATTATTATCGATCTGTCGTCAAGACTGAAAAATCATTCCATCCCTTCTTTGATGCTAGAAAGTTTAAATTAATTTTATCTGAAGATACTAACTACATATATCTAGTGATGTTTATTGAACTGCATACATCTCTTATTTCGACAAATGATTTTAAAGTATATTGGCTTATCGCGATAATAAGCCATCTTTAGGTTGGCTAGCAGTATTAATCCTTTCATGAATAATAATTAGTTACTATCATTAAGCAACCTTCAAATCTAACAAGTAACAATCACTACTAAGGGAAGAAATATGAAAGAGATTATCTCCTTCGCTTATCTAGGAAGTATCGTTTCAAATATAGGATCGGAATGGCAGGGCGCACCTTCATCAATATGAAATCAGTTTGGAAATCTTTTGAATTCGGCATAAAGAACAATGTTCGGATTTTCGACACCAGTGTCAAGTCAGTCACCGCTACCAAATGGATCAGAAACTTGGTGCATGCGTCACGGAAAGAATTCCTAACATTTTACAGGGTTTTGTCAACAGCTGCCTTCGCTCCATACTGAAGACCAAATAGCCAACCAGAAAGAATTAGCAACAAGATACTATGGGAACAAATCTGCCAAGAACCTACTGGTCAACAAATACACCCGAAGAAAATGGAGGTGGATAGGACACACGCTGAGGAGATCGTCGGATGACATGGCACGCCAAGACCCCGAATGGAAAACGACAAGTTGGGCGTCTGACGGTGACATAGAGGAGATCTTGCGAGGAGGAGGTAAAAGCTTATGAGCAGTGGTGGAACCATCTAAAGAGGACTTCATAGAATACGACAAAATGGAGAGGTGCTGTTGAAGCCCTATTTTCCAGTCGAAATCCAAGGGAACAATAACGTAGTGATAATAATAATCCTGTCTCTTGATTCATAAGGATTAAATTTGAAAAATAAAACATATAGCTCATTGAAGAAGCTCTTTTCGGTGAATTCATTTTCTTTAGCCGTACAATCGCATTCATATACATTTTTTCCACGAAAGAGGATATTAACAAAGGAGATTAGTTTCCATGGTCATATGTGCTTATCTTAATACATAAGAGAAGCTGAATAAAAGTGTTGGAGATAGATGGTGAGATAAACCATTTAATGAATGAATTGTAATCAAGATGCATGTAGAAATGGTATTTACAGATGTTCCAAATATCTTTAACCACCAGTTAAAAAGAAACATGAGTCTATGAAAAGCATAAACATTTATTTGCTGTATTTTGAGAACTGTGAATCATGGTAATTATAGCGTTATTTGAGAATGAGTTTCAC